GACACCTTTCCATCCATAACCCTACACCCACACACTACTCTTGTTCACTTTGTACTTCAATATATCTGTCTTTAAGACGTGGAATCTCATTTAAGTTTCTCATGCTGGATTCCAACCCTGAGGTTAAGCCATCTTTTTGCTTCAACTGCTTGGGTAGCTAGAGGTTCAGGTATCCAATTGTTCATTCTGAATGAATTACATTCTCTTGACAATTGAGATTTCCTTATATTATTGTAATATGTTAAGATGTCAAATACATTTTGAAATAAAAGAGAATCCACCAATTTTTTAAGCTATGGAAATTAAGTAACCATAAAATAAATCATTACCAATAGTTCAAGATGGTCAAATTACAAATACGAAGTAAAAGTTTCTCTAATTTCATTTCTTTTTCTTCAAATTAATCAAGTCATTCAAAATTGGCCCTATTTCCTTTTCAGTCTCAAATTCTATGAGAACATGCTTTAACATTTTGTGTCTCCTTGACCACTGACTGTCAGGACAGGGTATCTATCTGCTGTGTCATGAGGGCAGCTCTACAGCAAGACCTACGTGGTGAGAAACTGAATCCTTTGAGAGGGGTAAGCTGGTAAAGACACTTGCTGCCAAACCCAGCAACCTGAAGTTAATTCCCAGAAATCACATTATGGAAGGGAGAGAACCATGACGCATGCATGCACACACACACACACACACACACACACACACACACACACACACACACAAATATAAAAGGAAAAAAAAACTTAGTTAACTGAAGCCACCAACCAGTAGCTAGTCAGGCCTGCCAACAACTATGTGAAGGAGGTGAGAAGATTATCTTTACCTCACTGAGCTCTGAAATGACTGCATTTTCTTGACAAACCCTGAGTCAGAACCATACGGCTAACTGCAATATTATGAGGATCTGGATTCCTCACCCTCTGACACTGTGTGAGATAAGTGTTTTAAAGTTGCTAAATTCAGGGTAATTCATTTTCCAGCATCAGACAGCTACTACCCAGAGCCTTGTCCTTAAGTGCTCTCTCAGTCCTAGCTGTACAGCCGGTTCCTCATAGCTGCTCTTCCTATATTCTCTGGAGTTCTCTTTACTTCTTATGAGACATTTCCCATTACACCAATCTCATTACAGTTAATAACAATCCTTTACATTAATTTTCCTCTATCAAATTCAGTAGTTTTCCTTCTCTGATTGGACCCTCACAAAATACCACATAAAACTGATGCTGCTAGTTAAAAAATCATCTACACTTCACAGCTGCTGGATTACTTACCATAACCCAGCTCCTGGAGCTGGATTCAGTAACTCTGAACTGGATGGACACAGCAATTTCAGATAAAGGGGTGTTAAGATAAGTATTAAAAGTGTAACAGAGAGAAACCACTACTACATCAGATCACTGCTTTCACAATATTTGGACCCATCCCCTTCAAATGTCTCCTTTTCATTTTCAAACACAATACAATTTCCATTTCACTTTTTCTTTAGCTAATCACATAATCACAACACTGGTATGACACTGTCTTCATTACTGTTCTATTGCTGTGAAAAGACAGCATGACTAAGGCTAGTTATAAAAGCATTTAACTGGGGGTTGGCTACAGTTTCAGAAGCTCAGTAGGCTTCCCATTATGGCAGAGAGCATGGCAGGCAGGCATGGTGCTAGAGCAGTAGCTGAGACCTTACACCCTAATCCATAGGCAGAAGGCAGAGAAAGAATGAGACAGGGCCTGGCCTGAGCTTTTGAAACCACAAAGCTATATATGATAAACCTACACCCAACATCAAACTAAATGAGAAAAACTCAAAGCATTCCTGCAAAAATCATGAACAAGACAAAAGACTCCCATGTTCTACAGTCCTCTTCAACAGAGTGCTTGAATTCTTAGCTAGGAGTAAAATGACGGAGAACAAAATAAAGGGAAACCAATTAAGAAAAATCAAACGTGTCTCTATTAACAGATGATGAAATCCTATACAAAAGAGACCCTTAAAGACTCCACCAAAATCTCTTCAGAGCACTTCCAGCAATGTGGCAGTATACACAACTAACATAGGAAAACCAGAAGCCTCTCTGTGTACCAATGACAAACATACTGAAAAGAAAACCAGGTAATGAAATTCATCCACAATACACATACAGGCACACACGTACAAAATACCCCGGAATAAATCCAGACAAGCACATTAAAGACCTCTACAGTGAAAACTTTAAGGCCCCAAAGAAAGAAACTGAAGGAGATACTAGAAAATGGGAATACCCCTCATGCATATGGATTGGGAAAATAAATATTGTGAAAATGGCCATCCTACCAAAAGCAATCTATACATTCAATGCAATCCTTATCAAAATTGCAAGCAATACTTTACTGTAAATAATGCTAAATCTCATATGGAAACACAAACAAGACAGGACAGCCAAACCAATCCTGGACAAAAAAAGAGGACACCACACCTGATTTCAATTTTACTACAGATCCATATTAATAGAAACATCATGGTGCCTGAACACAACAGACATGTAGGCCAATGGAATATAATTGAGAACTCAGGTCTAAATCCATGCTACTACATCTACATGGGTTTTGTTGTTGTTTGTTTTTGACAAAAATCTCACAGGAAAAAAGAAGGCTTCTTAAACAAATGGTGCCATGTGGAGAGCAGATGAAGTCCAGAGTGAATGTGTATTATTGTCATAAGCATGGCCATGTCAAAGACCCTAGTGACTCAGACCACGCAAAGTGCACACCCTTCCCCAGGTCAGGATCAGGGAACTAGCAAAGCTTTCCCTATTACAAGTACTGATGCTGATAGTATTTGCAAAGATCAACATCTTCCTCCCTGAATGACTGCAACCTGAGATTGCTCCCTTGCAGAGAATCCCTCCTCATTCAGCTGAATATAATAACCCACCTCCACACTCAGCTCTATAATAAATGCATTGAGTTTGGGCTGCTGAAAACAGCTCACCAGATACCGGCTTTTCTGTAGTGTCTGTTGTTTCTTCATTCCCCCAATGCCCCATCGGGTCAATCCCAAAGCTGTGCAGGTCATGGTTGTGCTGGGAATATAGGGTATCAACTTTCAAAAGAAAGAAACTAGATCTTCATTTGCCACCCTGCACAAAACTACCTCAACCTAAGACTTGATGCTCTAAACTACTAGAGGAAAGAGTAGGCAGGATACTTCAATGTATAGGCATGGGTAAGGACTTTTCGAATAGGACTCCTGTACATAGGCATCGTGGCCACAGTCAGCAAATGGGATGGATCTCAAAGGCAGCCCATGGAATAGGAGAAAATATTTTCTAGCAGCACACTCAACAGATTAGTGTCTAGTTCCTAGAATATACAAAAACCTAAAACACAAAAAAATCATCCTAGGCATCAAGAAAACAGACATTTTTTTTTTTTAAATGGGCTACAAAGGACCAGAGTGATAATTCAACAACTAAGAGCATTTGCTGCTCTTGCAGAGGATCCAGGCTTGGTTCCTAGCACCCAAACAATTGCTCACAACTGTCCACAACTACATTTGCAGAGGACCCCGCACCCTCTTCTGACTTCCTTAGTACTAGGCATGCACATGGTACATGCACATGCAGGAAAAACACTTCCACAAAATGATTTTTTTTAAGGTGGAGGAGTCTATGCAACTGGGGGAAAAAAAGCTTCTCAAGACAAGTACTACAAATGGTAAACATTTTAAAAAGAGCTCAACATTCTCAGCAATGAGTGACATGCAGATTAAAATTACCTTTTTAAAATTCTGTCTCATCCCAGTCAGAAAGCCTATCAATACAAATAGCAAATGCTAGCATGACTGTGGAGAAAAGGGTATCCTTTCACACTGTTGGTGAGAGTGTAACCTGGTGAAGCCAATTTGGAAATCAATATGGAGGGTCCTCAAAAGTTAGAAATAAAAATACCTAATATGCTGAGCATAATGGAGCGTATCTTTAATTCCAGCACTCAGGAGGCAGAGTCAAGTGGATATCTGTGAATTCCAGGCCAGCTAGGAGCTACATAGAGAGACCCTATTTCAAAAATAAGTAAATAATGCTTTAAGACAGCCATAGCACGCCTGGGCATATACCCAAAGGTTCCATATCACTACAAGTAACAGGTGAGAGCTTGGCCCTAAACAAGCCATGTGTATGTAGTACACCTTCTAAGATTTGGGAACGTTGAGGAAGAATGGTCAGAAAAAAAGTGTAAGAGCCAGAAGATAGGGAACAAGAACGGGAAAATTCTAGCCTCTGAGACACGACGCAGCCAATGTAGCCAAGAGCTCCGAACTGCTATAATTATTTGCACTGGATGGGAACAAGAAGGGCCCTCCCAACAGTCAGTCATGAATGAGGAGGGGCTCATGGGACCCTAGCCCTTAATACCGAGCTATTAGCTACAGTTGTGTACCCTAGCGAACCCACCGGGTTCCAAAGGATAATTCACACAGACGGTCCTGGGCAAGCCCAGGCAGACAGAAGCAAACAAGACATAAATGTGGAGGGAGCGACTAGTAGGGGAGGTAACTGTAGAGGGGGTTAAGGAGATGAGAGACAGTGGGGTGGGAGCAACCAGAACGAAATAAATGCATGTATGAAAGTATTAAAGAACAAGATTAATTTAAAAGATTGAATAAGGTGCGACTTTAGCCTTTCTCCAAGTAAGGGCGTGCCCACAGGCAGGTGTGATGATGATAAAAAAAAAAAAAACTACCTAACTAACAGCAACAACAAATTCACTTTTTAGTCCCAAGAAACATCGAAGTGCTCCATCAGAGTGGCTCAGCGACAAAAAGATCCGAGTAGCGTCTACCATCAGATGGGGCGCGCTGCCCCGCCGCCTTTTCCCAGCCTCTTCGGCTGGACCGACCCCGGGCGGGGACGCACGCCGGTGACGTCATCGCACCCCAGGGCGTGACCGCCGGACGCTACCATTGGCGGAGGTGGCCTCACCCTCCCAACCGCTGGTCCGGGCCCTGGCCGCCGACTCACCTTCCCGTTGGGGTGGAAAGGGAGGCCCGGGTCCTCGGTGGTGGGGAGAGGGCAAGCACGGCCTGTTTCCTCCGCAGCTCCAGCGGCGAGCCCCGCGGCGGAGAGGGCGGCCTCATAGTCCGGGAAGGGGTTGGGGAACGCCCGCTCCTCCATCTCCGCCTCCCCTCCGAGGTGCAACTTGAGTCTCTTCGACATGGTCTCGCCCATGTCCGCGCGCTTCCCCTGCCGGAGAGCTCAGGGCACGGCGCGCAGGCAGGGACAAACCTCCGGGAAGGCGTTTGGGCCGGGGCTGCGCGGCGAAGCCTGGCTGGCGGCGGACCGTGGCTGGCACATCTGGAGGCCGCCGGCGCGAAGAAGCCGAACCTCCAGCCGTGGCCCGTCACGCCCTCCCGGCAGCTGCTCGCAGCCTGCCGGACCGGCCGGCCGAACCGCAAAGCCTCCCGGTGACCGTCGTCTCCCCGGCGGCTGTGTCCTTCCGAGAGGTTCTAGAGAAAACCGCTCGCCCGCGAAGCTCACGTTCCGGTAGGGAAAGCCTGTAAAAGATGGGTTCATTCAGAGTGTGAGCGCCTCGCAGACCAGGGAAGAGCGCATCTTCGGAGGCTCCAGCATCGAACTGACTGTATTTTCACCAGCCCAGCCTTGCCGCCTGCCCGTCCGTGTCCTCGGCCCCTGGTCGTGCGCCAGTCCCAGGAACAGCAGCTGCTTTGTTTGATTAAAGAAAAAATATCTCTTCTAAAGAAAAGAATTTCAAAACGGCCTAAAACAGGGAAAGGATAGCCTCCCGAGGGAGGGGGCATACAGTCCCTCCCATTCATCACCACTGGGAGGGGGGTTGCTTGGAGGAGGAGCCACAGGCCTTTGTTTTGTTATGTTTTATTTTCATTCTCTTTGTTTTGAGTAAATGCTCGTCTTTGGTAACGAGAATTCATATGGAAGAACGTTTATTAATCATCTAAATATTGCTTAGACCAGAGAATCCCATAAACACGAGATTAACATAATTGGCCAGCAGAATAACATAGGACACAAGCAAATAGATCTTTGCATTTCTATAACCACAATATATAAAGTCACAGCCTTTATTGGTTCTGTGTGTTTTGCCCCGTTTACCTAGGACCAAATCTGTGTAATGATTTGAAAGGAAATACCTTATTCAGTTTTCTTTCATTTAATAAACTTTGGTACTTGGTGGCAAAATGTTTCTGCCCCCTGGAGAAATCAAGTTAGTATGCAAGAAAGCCAAGAATCAAGAGCAGCCTACTGTGTAATTTCTCGGGTCCTAGCAAGGTACATGTTTGATATAATGCCAAAGGTGACATGATGGAAGACTACCAAACAGCAAAGATGTCAGTCACTCCCGCCTTCAGCCTCAGAATGCAGTCAAGTGGAGAAGGTTTAGGTTTTCAAGTCTGTCCTTTGTCATACATGCAATACACACACACACACACACACACACACACACACACACACACACACACAAGAGCCTTATTATGAAAGTTTAGATCAGAGTTGTAAAAGTCAGACCCTACAGTCATCGAGAGGGTGCCTGAACTGGTGATCAGATGGTTGAATACCCTAACTGTCATCCTAGAGCCTTCATCCAGTGACTGATGGAAGCAGATACAGAGATCCACAGCCGGGTGCCAGGTCAAGCTCCAGGAGTCCAATCGATGAGAGAGAGGAGGGATTCTATGAGCAAGGGACATCGAGATCATGATGGGAAAATGTACAGAGACAGCCAGCCAAACTAGTGGAAACTCATGAACTGTGGACCAATAGCTGAGGAGCCCCCATGGTACAGGACAAGGCCCTCTGGATAGGCGAGACAGTTGTTTAGCATGAACTGTTTAGGGGGCCCCCAGGCAGTGGGACCGGGACCTGTCCCTGGTGCATGAGCTGGCTTTTTGGAGCCCAGTGCCTATGGTGGGACACTTTGCACAGCCTTGGTGTAGGGAGGAGGGGCTTGGACCTGACTTAACTGAATGTACCAGGCTCTGCAGACTCCCTATGGGTGGCCTTGCCTTGGAGGAGGTAGGAACGGGGGGAGGGGGGAATGGGGGGGGGTTAGGCTGGGGGTCAGGAGGAGGCAAAGTAAGACCTGATTTTTACATTTGAAACCAAGTTAAACTGGTAGTAATTGAGCCTCTGCCACAAAACCACAAAGCCTTTTTTTTATTTAAGAGACTTAAGTGATTTAAACATCTTATGCTTTTTAAAAAATTTGTATCATCAACTAACATGTCTATCTTTTATACCCAAACTTATTGTAAAGCCAAAATGTTTTTTTAAGGTGAAAACAGACCTTTTAGCTCTTGATTTTCAAGAGTGGAGAGTAGAGAAAGCCAAGATATAAGTGATTTGTTGGACCACTTGCTTATGAAGTGGCGGAAGTTGTTATTATCTGTGAGAATTTGGAAACTGAGTGTGCCATTTTAGCTCTGAATGGACTGCCCTGGCAGTGTAGCCTCATGAGAGGGGCTGGCTGAGGTCCTCTTGGTGCTGCTAAACTGTCTGACATGGCTAACGCCCTCCATCAAGGCCATCACAGAGATCTGAGGAGGATACATTTGACCATATAGATCAAGTGGCCTCTGTACCAGCTAAAATTACAGACTTACCCACTACTGGACAGCCAGCCTGGGATCCTCCATGAGACAAAGAGCCAGTGACAGACAGACAGACAGACACACACACACACACACACACACACACACACACACACACCTCTACCCAACTATTCAGATCCTGACCCAAGGCTTAGGTTTAAATAGTAGACTAGAAACTTGTATGCCTTATTAAGCATGCCCAGGTCCAGGTGTGCTCTGGCCCATCCCTAGCCCATCAGAGTGTCTATTTCTCTGTCTTCAGCAAGGTAGTCTTGACAAGTCCTCACAACTGTGAAATCATTGGGAGACAGTTCTTCCTCTGGCTGGCATCAGGTTTCAGCCTTCCTCTATTATGGGGAAAGTCCTCAGATTGCATATATTTTATGCTGTTGTTACATCTGGGTTTGTTTTCAAAATAGTATTTAAATAAAGCATGTGTTTGCTTCAATATTAAAAAGATGCTATTAACTTTTGTGGTTGTTGTTTAGATATAAGTATCCCTAATTGTCATAATTTTGTCTATCACTGTCTGGGTATCTGATGACCATGTCATACCCCAGAGCTTATAGGTGGTGATTGATGTTTTTTTCCTCATTATCTACTCCCAGTTTTCACGCTTTTTTTTTGTTAATTATGTTTAATTTTTAACATAACTTATAACATCTATATAGGATATGTTTAAAAAATCACAATTTGATTAATTTGGGAGAACAGGATTGAATATATTACCATTAGACTATTTAAATATCCATGTGGGAGTCTTGCAAATGGATAACTTTGTCTTTCAATCTGAAAGTAGCATATCCCTGCTTTCTCACCTCCAACCCCCGCACCCCACTTTTCCCTTCTAAGTTCACGTGGGGGTTTTGTTGTTGTTGTTTTAAAATTTTTTCTTTTTTTAATATCGTAATTCTTTATTGATTCTTTAGGAATTTCACATCATGCGCCCCAATCCCACTCACCTCCCAGTCCATCTATATCCTCCCCTCACCCCTGCAGCTCTGCCCCAAAAGAAACTCCACCTCACAAAAAAAATCAATTAAAAACCAAACCAAACAGAAAAACCCTACCTCACTCCTCCATCTTCACAATACCTCTTCCTCCTAGTGGCATTGGGTGCTGCGGTGTGTCACAGTATGCCCTCTTGTCCACTCAGCCCCACCCACAAAATGTTCCTTGCAATGAATCATTCGTCTGGGTCAAGCCCTCTGGCACACATCATCACTGGACCTTCCCCCAAACTCCTCTCAGACATCCTGCTCTCGCCCCCATCTCACCTGTCTCACCCCTCTTAAAGACTGAAAGCATCATGATAAGCCATTGTTTTGTATTCCAGAACACCAAAGCCTCGCAGGACATACCATTCCCCCAAATGAGTATTGTAGTGGGTAGTTGTTCCAGCTTTGATCTGGAAGTACCACCCCCATTGAGGCTTCGGTAACTGTTATACCTACAAGGCAGAGCCGAGAGAAGACCCTGACGACCCGAGATCCGGATGGGCTGGCTCTCTTGGTTCCTGGACCCTGGACACTGGAGGTAGACTGAGCAGAGTTGTCCAAAGAACACCGCCGGACTGCACTACACCTTTCCCAGACGCTGTAACCTATCCCTTCACTTGCAAGTTACCCCACAAAATAAACCTCCCTTTTAACTACATGGAGTTGCCTCAATATTTTAACCAAGAGTATAATTACCCATTTTGATGAGGCTATACAGTAATCTTGAACTAAGTGTGTGGGTGTGGAGATGGCAGCAAGTGAGGTGAAGGATGGAGAAGGGAAGAAATGACTTACCAAGCAAAGGCAGCTCATGGACAAACTGGGTTCTTGGGCTGTGGGTCTGGAGTTAAGCCTGCAGGTGTGGAAATAGCCACAAGATAGGGATTACAGGAAAGGGAAGAAGTGACTGGCCCAGAAAACGTGACTCACAATCAAAGAAGGGTCACAGGCCTGGGGTCTGGAGCTAGGCTTGTGAGTATGCATATGGCTATGAGCTGGGATGTGGGAGGGATGGGAAAAGGAGCAGGTAATTTATCCAGCAATGGTGACTTGTGAACAGAGTGTTTCCCTTCTGTAATGTCAGAGTCCTCCTCCTATTATTCATGCATTCCATCACTCTGTTTGGACAGGGTTTCACCATACTCGTTTTCCTTATGAGGAAAGGGTTCTAAAACTAGTAGGCATACATAATAAAATCATGTATTCTGTATCAACAACAAAGGATGACAGTACATATGTTTTGACCCACAATACCCCCTCAAATAAAATATCAAGCAGTCTAGAGGACCCATAAGAAGGAGGGTGATCATACCCTCAACAAAAAAATCAATAATTGGGACAACCAATATTATCTTTTGATGGATGTGGAGTCATAAATACAATCTAAATGACTACTTGTTTCCAAATAAATGATTACTAGATCATAGAAGAGATCACAAGCTAAGCAAAAATGGCCCGCATGCCAGTCCAAATCTAAAATGGTTAAAACCCAGAAAGTTTTAGAAAATGGTTTTCAACTTTTGGAGGATTTAAAATCATTGTGTTATGCTTTCAATTCTGGAAGGATGCTTGATTTTACCTTACATAGTTTCTTTAGCATAAATTCTAGCTGA